ACATTCGAATCGACGATGCTTGCATTTATTTTCATGCACTTGTTTTTCGTCTTCAGCAGCGAATCGTTGACCACATTTCGAACAGTCGAATGGAAGTTGTTGGTGGTGAGTGCGTGAATGCATCTTCAATCCATTTAGCCTAACAAATGCCTTCGAACAGACGCGGCATGCGAATGGTTTCTCACCACAGTGGATTCTCATGTGGACTTTTAAATGTATCAAATACAGAGTGGTAAATTTGCACAAGTAGCACTTGTATTGACGACCATTGCATTTGGTTTCATGACTGATTTTATCAACTTCCTCGACAAATCTACGACGACACTGCGAGCAACGAAATGACAATTCAGCACCATGGACTATCTTATGACGAATCAAAGTAGACTTTTGTGAAAAAGCCTTCCCACAAACTTCGCATTCGAATGGTTTTTCGCCTGTGTGAGTTCGAATATGTTTTTTGAGATTCGATACAATTGGAAAAAGTACAACGATACAACTTCTTAATCTTTCCCGTTGACTTTTTCGGAGCTTTGGTCTTCTTGTTTTTCTTTGCTCTTCTTGGTCCCTTGACTTTTGCACGACGTTTGGGTTGTTCATTGTTACCATTATCGATTATTTTTCTGCTTGCTGTAGTTCTATTTGTGACCATCTTTGTCTGCTGTACACGATGAAAGAGAGCGATTCACCGTTTCTGTTGTAAATATCAAGCATACCATTGACTGACATTTGGTACATGTCATCTATACTGCGAAGTTTGTTTCTCTTGCATCACATTAGATTTATTCAGCGGGAAAAACAAAAGGTCACGATTTTATTTAAAGTAAAAATGTATTTTTCTTTGAAAATTTCTAAATTAATTGAAATAATAAACTGCAGATATCAAAAATGTCGATCCAAAACATTTACATTAAATTTAGAAGTGACACCTACTGTATATCTCATGATCAGTGTATTAAATACAATTTTTGTGAAAATAATTATTGTTCGATATCAGTGTAATTGTCGCTGTGTTAAGAAAATAGCGATAAAATAAGCGCGCATTAAATCTATGATCGGTTCAATTTGTTTGAAATAAGAAATGAGAATTTTCCCAGCGCCCTGATAGTAATTGCCGCGCCTGGCAATCATATTCAAAACTTATGTAAAAACACGGCAAATAAATTTTAACGAAAACAATTGTTCAAATGTATTCTACACAGTCTACGAAAACAAAAAATTAAAATATTGTGATGAACGCAATTTATTATGACGAACATTGGATTAAAACGACAGGAGAAAAATAACAAATGATATTTCTGAAAGAATGTAATGAATTCAGAATGAGAATGCCTTTATTCAACATCTGTGTTGTCAATGATATAAAAAAACTGTTTGAAACGGCATAACTTACTTTGTTTTTTTGAAACCATACAATCGTTAGAATTTTTTTTACTGCTCGTCAGTAATTTTCAAGTATTCTATCGCTGTTAAAAGAATGAATATTGCATACGTGTTATTTGTCATATTTTTTCTGGTCGAATATCTTGTGAGTGAAGTGATTTTATATTCTTATATCTTGTAGTTCCGTTTATTTTTTCAACCCTTCATCGGAAAATGTTTTACGTACCTCGACGAGAAAGTGCTATTTTCCAATTCACACTCCCAATATCTCTTGATTTATTTTGAAGAAATGCTTCTGAAGCAGAAATAATTTTTGAGTAGTTTTTTTAACGTTTCAAATTTTTCTTCTTAGGAATTTGATAAAAACGTCACATTTGGGATTGAAGCGGTCGTCAATGGCGAATACGTGTATAACATAGAACAACATAATTATATGGTTTCATTTCTTTTCTTTCATTTCTTGCAAATTCAAATATAAATTTCATTGAAAAAATATAAAAAATTTATTTTAGGTGGGAGTACACCATTTCATCAATAGCACCCACGGTCAACTTATATGTGGAGCTGCGATCGTATCGCATGACAAGATCGTTTTGGCTGCGCATTGCTTGTACAATAAGGGTAAGAGCTATATCATGTTAATTCATGGTACGATTAATTCAAGTCGATTGTTTAGGGGGTCATTTTTTGTTGACTTTTGGTGCTGTTTATATAAATCGGCCGGAATTAACAATGAATATCACCGAGGAACATTTCATCATTCATCCAGACTACTCCAAAGGCATACCGCACGACCATGATTTGGCTGTTATTGAATTTTATATGCAACAATTTACCGCAACAGTTGGTAACATCGATATGGTGCCCAAAACATACAAACCAAAGCGGGGCGATGTCGTCACAATGTTAGGTATGAAACGAAAAAAAAAACATTTTCACTTGTTCAAATAAAATTGTATATTTCAAGGTTACACAACCTACGATGAAAATAACAATATTGTTGGCGATGATGAATTTTACTTGCAACGCACCCGATCGACAATTGCTGAATTCTCAATTTGTAAACGAAATTTCAAAGAAAAAGACAGCCGTTATAATTTAGATGAAAACTATCAATTGTGTATTGCTTTGAAGGATGGAAAAACATCAAACGTAAGCAAGGGCGACAGTGGAAGTCCTCTTATATCAGAGGATGGAGAATTACTGGGTGTATTATCAATGGGGTTTGGATTTACTTCAGATCAAATGTAGTATTGAGAAATTAATTTCCCTTTCATGTAGGGACATTGGTACACCAGAGGTTTATACCTCCATCGCTGCACATCGTGATTTTATCGACAATCCAAGGGTGCGTTGGCATGACTTTATTTTTATATTATTAATTCTTCATTAATCGTTTTACAGTCATTCCGCGGAAAGAGATCTGGAAAAACAGAAGGTAGCTCTTTTGATGACGAAACAATTTTTTTTATCCGATTTTGGATAATTTAGTTAATTTGTTTAAACAGCTGGATCGAGTAGACAAACAACTTCTTCAAGTAGGTCGGGCTCTAGCTCCCGTTCTTCTTCAAAAACAAAAGCAACGATTGAAAAACGCGTTGATAAAATTGAGGATCATAAATACACTGCTGGTCTCTTATACATGAAAGATAGTAACGATGGACCCTATTTGTGTACAGCAACGATAATATCGAAAACTAAGATATTGTGCGCCGCACATTGTGTTTACGAGAAGTACTCCGTGACCTTGGAATTCGGCACGGTAGACACGGATGAGACATATCAAACTGTGAACGTAAAAAAAAGTCAAATTTTCGTCCATCGAGATTATGAGGAGGACCCAGTATATGTCAACGACATAGGTAGGATAGTTCAATTCATTGCTATAATTTTGCTTAACACAGCTGTCAATTTATAGCGATCATTTTGCTTAAAACTCCATTGAACTTTGATTCAAAAATTGGTGAAATTAAACCTTACGCTGCATACGAGTTGAAGGCGGACGAAAGAGTTACTTTGGTCGGCCATTCAAAGGGATACTTGCACTACTTTGAAAGCACAATTTCTAGCTTTGTTGGATGCAGACGTTCATATTGGGAACGAAACAATGATAACCCATGGTTAGATGAGAAACGACAATTTTGTGTTAAAATGCATAATAACGAAGACAACATTGGCTCTGGTTATGCGGGCGGTAATGATGTTTGAATCCATTAACAGTATCAAATAGAACACGAAATACATTTTATTCGATTGTAGGACCTGTGATAACGGCTGCAGGAAAATTTATTGGCATTTTTTCGTATGACTTTACCGGCTACCCGGAGGTTTGCACCCTATTAAACGGGTTCTCGGATTTCATTGCTGATACAAAGGTATGTCCTTAAATTAAACTTTGATGTGGGAAAAATATACTCTTTTTTTTTCATTTTTGTCAGTGTGATTTTTCGGAAACAACATGAATGTTAATCTTTTTTTAAATTCATTATTTTTAGGCTTTTTCTAAAAATATCTCCAAATCGACTTCCACATCATCGTCGTATTCATCCTCTTCATCGTCGACTTCGACATACAAGAAAAAATCATCTATTAAAAAGTTATTCACCAGAAGCTGAATTTAAAGTTACACTTTGAAGACAATCCAACACAGCAAATTACCTTTTTTGAAGTTATTGCAATAAAATAATTTTCCATAGACGTCCAATATATGTATAATTTTATTTTATGTTAAAGATTGGCTGCTGTCGATTTTGAATTATCAAAACCTGACAAACTTTTCCTCTTCTTATTGAGTTTCGTTAATCGTAAAATACTTCCTCTTAAGGTAAGCCTGCCAGATCGCCCGGATAAATCCGGTGTCGCCCGGATTTTT